ATTTTTAGTAGAGACGGGGTTTCACCATGTTGACCAGGATGGTCTCGATCTCTTGACCTCGTGATCCACCCGCCTCGGCCTCCCAAAGTGCTGGGATTACAGGCGTGAGCCACGGCGCCCGGCCCCAAGACTTCATCTTAAAAAGAAAAAGAAAAAACCATTATAAGGGGTTAGACTGGGGCTAATTTGCACCCAGGGGACATTTTTGATTGCCATAATGGGAGAAGGGTGTTGGGCTGGGAGAGGAAGCACCTGGCATACTGTGGGTAGAGGCTGGGGATTCTTCCAAATATCCTACAGTGGACATGACCCCTCCTCCGTATGTACAACACAGAGTTATGCAGCTCAAAATGTCAATTGTGCTGAAGTTGAGTAAACCTAGATTATAGAGATATTAGGGGGCAGGGATGGTGGTGGTGCTACCAAAGGCCACTTTGGTGAGGTTATATTTGAATGAAGACTCGCCTGAGGTAAGGTAAGCAAATCATATGGCTATCTGGGGCAAGAGATTTCGGGTAGAGAATAGCAAATGCAAAGTCAGTGATGCTGCAGTGTGTCTGGTGTGTTTTGGGAAAAGTAAAGATCCAATATGACTTGGGTAGAGTGAACAAGGGAGAAAATGAGAGATAAGATCAGGAAGCTAGCTGATCATGTAAGTTCTGCTAGACCAATATATTTCATGGAATACATTGAAATTTCTAAGTGTGATCTAAGTATAATTCACATGAGCAAATTTTTGGTCAATAACTAAAATTGCAATTTGCAGGAATGCTCTGGGGGATTAAAAATTAAATTAAAATATTAAGTATACTGTATGGAACCATCTTGCCAACACCTTGAATGCTGATGAAATTCTATGTTTAGTTTTAATGCAGTCTATTTTAAGTATCAAATTTTCTTAAACATTGATTACTACATTTTAAATCTATGAATTAAAACATCTGTACTTTTATTTTTACTTTTATGTTTTTTTGAGACAGGGTCTCTGTTGCCCAGGCTGGAGTGGTACGAGCATGGCTCACCGCAGCCTCAACCTCCTGCGCTCAAGCAATTGTCCTGCCTCAGATCCCCCGCATGGCTGAGACCAAAGGTGGGCACCATCATGCCTAGCTAATCAACATATCTGTACTTTTAAAACATCAATAACAAACCACTCAATACTTAGTGTGAAAATCACTTAGATTTCCTCTGAGGTAAAGCATTTAATTTCCCTAAGGCATATATTCACTTTCTTTTCTTTGGATTTATAAAAGGTCATACATCAAACTCTATTTCTACATGTAAAGTGTTTCTACATAGAAATCAATTCATCAATAATGTCTGCAGTTGCTAAAAGAACAAAGTAATCCCCATGGCACTGTGGCAAAATTTTAGTGGCTCTTGTATGAAAGTCTTGGGTTTAAATCCACCTGCTCCCATGCATATACCAACCTGTTCTTCCTATTTCCTTTGTAAAATTACAATGGAGCTCAGTACTAGAGGATAAGTGTGGCATAGTGAAAGAAACACAGCATACATGCTTGAAGAGACACACAGTGGGAATAATGTGACACAGTGTCTTATCTCAACTTGGCTATTAATTTGTTGCCCAGGCTGAAGTGCAGTGGCCCAATTCTGGCTCACTGTAGCCTCAACCTCCCCAGGCTCAGGTGATCTTCTCAACTTAGCTTCCCAAGTAGCTAGGACATTATGGGTGTGTGCCACCATGCCTGGCTAATTTTTTCCATTTTTTTTGTAAAGACGGGGTTTCACCATGTTGCCCAGGCTAGTCTAGCATTCCTGGCCTCAGGCAATCTGCTTGCCTCGGCCTCCCAAAGTGGTAGGATTACAGGCATGAGTCACCAAGTTCAGCCAATTTATTAAAAAAAAAAAAAAAATCTTTAGAGACAGGGTCTCATTCTGTTGCCCAGGTTGGAGTACAGTGGCACAATCATAGCTCACTGCAGCCCTGATATCCTGGCCTCAAGCAATTCTCCCACGTCAGCCTCCTGAGTAGCTGAGACTACAGACTCTCACCACTATGCCCAGCTAACTTTTTGTTGAGACAGGGTCTCACTATATTAACCAGGTTAAACTCAAACTCCTGGCCTCAAATCCTGCCACCTTGGCCTCCCAAAGTGTTGGGATTACAGGTATGAGCCACTGTGCCTTGACTGTAGTTTAGACTGGAGTATATAATAGGCATATAACAGGTATTGTTCTTTTTGTATTCTCAGTGGTATAATAGAAGTGGAAGGTAGAGATGTTTTAAATTAGACATGGGAGAACTACAGTGGATTCAAAGCTATATGAAACTGACTAAGGCCCAGAAAGTCTATCTGGCTGCCTCTTTGTATTAGATTAGAATACAAGTCTGGTGAGTGGGACTGGTGGCTCATGCCTGTAATCCCAGCACTTTGGGAGGCAGAGGCAGGAGGATCACTTGAGCCCAGGATTTCGATGCTGCAGTGAGCAACATTGCACTCTAGCCTGAGCACCAGAGTTAGACACTGTCTAAGAAAGAAATAAAAAATAAATAAAAAACTCCAGAAATTTGGGTCACAGGCAGAATTGCTATTTGCATGAAC